ACCCATCTTCTCACCAAGAGCTACTAACTTTTCGAGATCCATTGTGCCTCGCAAATGAAGTCTTGCCGTGTGCAGAAAGAATCTGCCTAAATCAGACTATCCGAACACTTCTCTACACTCGTTAACAAGAACACTGAGCAACACACAAAATCGTTCCGATAGCAGTATCAACAACTCGAGGCTCTTTCTCACTACTTGGGCACACTATGCACCAAAAAGGTCCTGTCGCAAATGCCAGATTAATTGTCACAGGTCCCGTTAATTAGGGAGGCGATCGCCGGGCTAATTTTAAGGGCCGAAGTATCGGCCCCCCGAACCGCACCACGAAAGCGTGGACAATTTAAAAGTGGTCCTATTTGGCGCGCCAGCGGACACCGGCTGTGGCCCAAAGAACAAGTCAGAGCCGAGAGTTGATAAAGAAAACAAAATTATATTCTCAATTATGGCAAATCAAAACGATGCGCACTCGACAATAGCTGAATACAATATGTCACCAATCAAACAACGTACTACACAGTACAATCAGCCACACTCGAAACACGGACACAGACAACAATACGCACTACAATGCAGTCGCATGCATCGAACAACCAAGACACTTAAAGACTAAAGAGTTAGAAAACTTATTCAGTCCAAAGTTCTTGGAAGAAAAGTCTCAATGATACTCTTCCGAGAATCACTCACTCAAAGTCCAGCGTTGTTGTCGTTCTGCTGCCCCCGAAGTTTCTCTTCCAGGAAACCTCGCGTCTTCAATTGGCCGCTCTCCAAGCACCCAACTTCTTCGCCGGTAACACGTCGGCTTCCCCCACGCAGCTGTTTCCACGTGTCTTCGCTCGCTGGCGGTAGACACACACTCTTGCCTGTAGCACGAGTCTTCACCCCTCAGGGGGAAATCCTCTTCTTCTCCTTTGTCACGGAAGACAAAAGGCTTCGCCCACAAAGCGGAACACCCTACGCACTCTGACGTGAAATTCCTTCTCCTGCTTTGTCACTGAAGACAAAACCTTCGCCGATGACACGGCGGAACACCCTACGCACTCTGGCGCATACTTTCTTCTCCTGCTTTGTCACTAAGGACAAAACCTTCACCGACAGACACGGCGGAATAACCCCACGCACACTGGCGCTAACTTCCTTCTTCTCCTGATCTCCCATCTCTTCTGCTCGGTTAAATACCTTCCGTGCGAGATTCCAGAAAATTCTCATCATTTCGTCGGCGCGATACGCAGCGAAGGCTGGGGAAAGCGCGAGACTGTTCGAGGGCCGTCCGCGACAGATGACACAACCCTGGATCACCACGCCCCTTTTCATCGAGAACTTTCCAGGGCTTGCTCGGCCGCCAATGTACGGAGGTACCTACGCTTCCGAGAGGGGAGGCACGGAGCACCCGGGGAGCCTTTGGATGTTTATTTTCTCTTTTTTTTTTCGTTGACCTCGCGGCGTCTCTCCGGCGCTTTGTCGCGAGAATTTGGCGGCGCGCCCTTTTTGAGCGCTCGTTTTGTGACAGCTGCTAAGCTTCTTTCTTTCTTTTATGCTGTTATGTGGTCGCTTAAATTATCATTATCATAAAGAGCCTCTACCTTTCAAGCACACACAACACAATAACTAGTCTATTGCATGCTCTATTCATCCTCCACTTAATGCGCCTTTTCCATTTTCCTATGCTGCCCTCTCGCATTATGGTAGGGTATGGTCGGGACCAGGAAAACTGGCATTGCTTGAACAAAGGCCTTCAAGACCAGGATTCGTTTCGCGACTTTTCCGCTAGGAAAGAGCGCCTGCACCGCGGCATTGTAGAAAAGGCAGATTCCGCATCGCTCCCCAAACATGAGCACCCAACGTGTGCTCTCCCTATTGATCTGGCAAACAAGTACTATGAGAAAGGAAGAGATAGAGAGAAATCCTTGACAAAACAAGAAATTTTCTGAAGAGTATTGTAACAAAAGTAAACACAAAAAGGTGAGGACAAAAAAGCACACACACAAGCACTGACTTACAAGTGATTTTTAATTGCCACAGTGCATCAAATATATTGATTGATTGATTGATTGATATGTGGGGTTTAACGTCCCAAAACCACTATATGATTATGAGAGACGCCGTAGTGGAGGGCTCCGGAAATTTAGACCACCTGGGGTTCTTTAACGTGCACCCAAATCTGAGCACACGGGCCTACAACATTTCCGCCTCCATCGGAAATGCAGCCGCCGCAGCCGGGATTCGAACCCGCGCCCTGCGGGTCAGCAGCCGAGTGCCTTAGCCACTAGACCACCGCGGCGGGGCTGCATCAAATATATAGCATACACTGAAAAATAACACTGTTCAACAATTTCGTGCCCTTGTTGGCTGCTCGTAACAATCACTTACTCATCTAGCAAAACAAATCTAGAAGCCACTTTTTTTTCTCAGTCAGTGTTAGTGATATATGAGATGCTTATGCATGCGTTATCCAGTTTTTCTATGCATGCAGCTTTGATTATTATTAGAGCCCTCTTGTCCAATGAGTGGTTAAGCAATGTCATATCTTAAAAGCATGGAATGCATCCACAATTTTGGCAATGCAACCCTAAATGGCTGGAAATGGCTGTGTTGACATTATAATAGTGCTCTTTGAGCCTTTCATTCAAGCACCTGCCACTCTGCCCGATGTACGCTTGACCACATGACGAGGGTATATAATAGATTGCATTGCACATGCATCATGCAAAACGACTGCGATGCTGCATGGCGCAAGTGGTCGCTGACCCATTTTTTTTTTATTTGTGCGTCCACACAGACCCTGAAGGCGCTCAGAGGCAGAAAAACTACATTTTTTGGTTTTTCTGGAGGCGCAATCCCCCTGTGCGCTCCAACCTGGCATTGCCTCTGTAAATCCTCAGCCACAGATGTCAGTAATGGTGCAGGATAGCCAGCTTCTCCCAGTTATTTAGCTTGTTTTTGTAAGCTATGTTCAAACCTGTGCTCACATGACTTTTTTTAGGACACTGTCAAAACAAGATGAAATAATTGCACATTTCACCAACTTAGAGTTAGCAGACTAGATGGAAGCACCAGTTTCTTGCCAGTTGTCTCATACCCCCAGCAGGTACTATGGTAAAAAAAAGCAGCCGCAAGTTTAATATTCTAATAAAGCCCTCAACAGGAACTCCATGGGTCGATGATAAAGGGTGGAGGCACTCGAAAAACACTTCCTTTGTGTTGTAGACAATTAAATTAAAACTTGATGTGACAGGCTATTCAGCAGTTGCCTTAGAAAAATTGTCTATGTGTTTAGGTTTGTTGACGACTATTTAGCCATTTTAAGCACTAACGCGTCAGACTTTGTGCATGTGTGGTACGGTGTGGTACAATGTCTAGTGGCAGTACTAACAAAAGTTCTCCTGAAGCAAAAACTTTGAAAATTGGGTGCTGTTGTCAAGAATGACAATGTCAAAAAAAGAAGATGAAAAGTCAAGTGAAGAATTTCGAGGCAAGAATTGGATAAAAGGGGAAGACAAGAAGAGAGCCCGCAGTGATGCCATTTTGGAGAAGGGGCACGTGCAAAGAACGTAGTAGCCGGGATGCTGCTTTGAAGAGGCCAACAGTTGTGGAAGATCTGGCTATGTCTTACCCCAATCTCCTGCTACATAATGCGTTTATGACGCTGAGCTCAAAAATGGCATGGCGTCATCACACTCAGGAAGAGGGACTACCAGCAGACTAGATCAGCACTGGAACTATAAGTGCAAAAACAAGCTGAACGCAAACAGCAGCAGACGTTGAAGCACGAGGCATCAAGACATTTTTGTTTCTCCTGAGTGTGCGTATTTTTGTGCGTGTGAATTGGCTGGTAATATTGTTTGTGTTTGTTTTTAAAATTATATGGTTCTGCGATTCATTTCAGACATCCAGATGAGTGAACCAGGCATCAGCATCAGCATAAGCGTGACACTTATTCAGTAGTACCTAGGGTACTATGTTAAAACTCATGACTGCGACTGAGGCAGCAAGAAATCAAATTTGTCCCACTCAGGTGCTGTGTGTACAATTGTACACATAAACTTCAAAGGTGCGACACGCACTGTAAGTTCCTTGAAATGGCTTAAATTGCAGTATATCCATTTGTTCAGGCTTCTCGAGTGGTTAACTAATGGTCATTTTCCAATCTACTGCAGAGGCTTACCTTGCTGGAGACACTATGACGCTTGACAATCAATCGACACGCCGCATTCCAGAAGCAATGTCAAGAATATTCTTTTCTTTGGTCGAAATGACTACACCCAAAAAATAAACTGTTCATGGATTTCGGGCCTTATATTTTATTCTTTTGATGCAAGGATTGAAGCTCACTGGTGGCAACATAATTAGATACTTAATTTGATGCTAATTAACATTAACTACTGAAACTAATGCAAAACAACACACTCCTTCATTTTCTTTCATGGAATGTGACAGTGAGTGCCTTGAAATCATGACATGTGAACTTAACGCATTCGCATACAGTGCACCATAATTCACGACTAAAGGAGTTACACTCAAACCTCAATATAACGAACATAGATAAAACAAAATATTGCACATAATGGAGTAAATTAAGAATAGTACAGCACTTAATACAATGTTAGGAATAACCTTTATAATAAATTTTCAGATATGACGAACTTATTTTCTTGCAAGATGCAACTTTGTTTTAATGTGGTTTTAGTGTATAAGGTATAGTACAACTGTTAAACATACGAGACACCAGCTGATTGTGATGAACAACTGCATAGTGAAACTAAAGTGATCATGACATTAAAACAAGACTACAGCTAGTGCATGTCACAGCTAAAAGCGTGCAACAGCATACTCAAGAAGTTTGACAACGTAGGAAATGATGCCCATTATGGCCTTGTGGAGATGAGTCTGATGACTACTATGACCTTGTTTTAGTATTACATTTTGTCCGTCAAAATTACTACTTTGTCAAGTTGGTTATAAATTAAAACACAGTATTAGATATACTGTAAACATATCCTCACCTTTCTCTTCAGTAGTGAGTCCTGACACACATCCCAAATCATCAAGGAGCTGCCGAAGCCTCATAACATTTTTGCTAGGCACGTAACGGTCGCTGAAAAAGTAAAACAAGAACAGTCAATGTGGTATAGTGGTAAGTAAAAATTATCTGAAATAAACAGACTGCCAAAGCAAGAGACATTCAGCTTTGCAGCTAGAAGTAGAGTGAAATTGTGCCAAACTGCTTACTGCAACCAATGAAGTGGAGGGGTAGTCAGTTGTGCAACTAACTTATTTCTTATATTAACTCAGGGTGTAGTGACACATATTTATATCTCTACAGATATACAGTTCGGGGCACTCAATCTACAGTGTAGTTGAACCTCCCAACTTCCAGAGATGCCAAAATTGGTTTGATAGATTATCAGAATTACAGGCTCAAGCAATGTTACAGATACAAGCAAGGCTGTAATAAAAGAACAAAAATCTATTTACCTGAACTATATTCTATTTGTGCATAAATAGTCATTGAAATTTTCGACAACAAAGTTTTATGCCTCTTTGGTGCTTCAGAGGACTGAGTGCACCAAAGTTACAAGCACAGTGAACTCTGTGAGGACTCGCATCTCACTCTTCAGAAAATCTTTTATGAAAAAGGCATGAACATTGCCATCAATGGAAGAAAAAATTTTGTACTTGAGAGGTACTCATACAAGTCCCAAATGCAAGAAATGAATGTTAGGAAAACTTTTATAACTCAACAAAAACACAAGAAACCTCTACCGTAATTTCCGATATACAATCCGCACAAATAGAATAGAGAAAAAAGAAATTACTATGCCATATCCCACTAAAGGGAACCATGAGTACCATGTGAAGCAGCGCATGCGTCGACTTAAAGTTCCGTTCATCACGGGCACCTTTCTCAATGTTAACGCGTCTTTGCAAGTGGAGCACACCATGAATTTACTGTATTTTCTGTTACTCGTTCCAAACTCTTGTTGGAGCACGCAATGCGGGTTCATCGCCACACCATGCGGGAGCATGTGGGTTCATTGCGTGTCTGCAGAATCTTGTTCCCCGACACCATCACGTGATTGCTGAGAGAGTAAGGGGGAGAGGCCACAGCTTCTTACACAGCCATTTACGCAGGCCCAAACATGCTGGCATGTTCTGGCAGTGCTTGAGCCAACTGTTGCACATGCACAGTAAGGGTGGTCACACCGCACATCATTGAATCGAACTCCACCATGAGCTGCTTCGCATCGAAAATTCAGCATTAAGCTTGATATACAAACACGTGAATTTTGATGTTTAAGGTGGCCTCACGGTACTGTTTCAAGCCAATACAAGGGAGCAGCAGTTATAGTGACAGATTGAACTCGCAGTAAGTGAGGCCGGGAGAAGTGACACTAGTGACTGAAAATAAGTGCAAATACAAAACAAAGTTCTTGCAATCTTTGAGCATTGCTAGTGGGTCGCATAATCAAGGCATCAAATTAATTTGCATGGTTGATATGTGCAGGTAATGTGCCAGGATTTGTTTAAAATTTTTTCGTTGCTTGAAGTTGATGGGTACATTCATATGCAAGGGATGGTCACACATAAAAAAGTATGGTATCCTTGAAGACTACCAGAGATAGCAATGACAGCAGCCCAGCAACAACTGATTGCCAATGTCAGCATCATTCCTATCAACTGCACACGTTTCAGGTATCTGTAAAGTTCATATCTATGAATTTTCCATAAAATATGTTTCGTGAGGACCACAAGCTTATTTGTCACAGAATTCAACTGTATATACTAGCAGCACATCAAGCACATACGTACCGACGAAGAGTGTTAACAATGTCATCACGCAGCACTTTCTGGATTTCCTCATACTGCGGTATGTCATGAGGTTCACGGTCTCGATTCAGAATGTCATCAAAAAGGGTAGTGCAGGAAAACATGGCAAAAAGCGTGGCATCTAAGTAGCATGAATTATGGTGTCCTTGTATTCCACGTTTCTGGTTACACAATTCTGCCACATCAGCGGCCGTTTGGCCCAGCACTGAAACAAGGTCATCTGCAAAAAAAAAAAAAAAAAAAAAAAAAAAAAAAAAAAAATAATTGTCCATACATTGATGAAGGTACATCTTGTAAAGGTAATCTCTCCACAAAGAAGGAAATGATAATAATAATAACAGTTCTTGGGGCTTAACGTTCAAAAATGACCATATGATAATGACAGATGCCTTAGTAAAGGGCTCCGGAAATTTCAACCACCTGGGGTTCTTTAACGTGCACCTAAACCTAAGCACACAGGCCTCAAGCATTTTTCACCTCCACCGAAAATATGGCTGCCAAGGCCGGGATTTAATCCCGCGACCTGAGGGTCAGCAGCCGAGTGCCTCAGTCACTATGGCAACCATAGCGGGTACTAAGAAGAAAAAATAGACTCAGTGAACATGCAATGATTTAATGTAAAGAATGAGCCTTCTCAATGATATGTTTCATGGCACGATTGTTTTGTACAAACGAAGTTCATTATAATACAGTTCAGAGTTAGCCAGGAAATACCACACTGTTGGGAAACGCCCACATAAGGAAAGTCTCAGAATTCTCATATATAAGCAACAGCACTGACACATATTTAATGTAGAAGGAGAGAAATGCACTTTGTGTGCACATACACACATGCAGTGTATGCAACTGAGCATTATAGAAAAATGAGCCAAAACTCACTTGTGCTGCAGTTGCCTTTGTCCTGCAAGAACAGTATATAAATGAAAGTCATCACGACAAATTCATCGTAACACAAAGTTCTATGTTTTAGACTAGAGCAGGATAAATAAATTATGAGCTTGATTCACTTTTTACACCTCATGTATTCTTTCGCCACATGTCATTTCCGGTCAAGATTAATGCAAACGTGATACTTAACCGAGTAACGCAGTAAGAGTATAATAGTAGGAAGTGCCAGAGTTTTGAAAAAAAAAAAACTGCCAGGGGAATCTCATCGAATTGAAATGCATAAATAGGGCAATTATATGAAAACTGCAAATAAGTACAGACATATGTGAACAACAAATTACCTATGTCGAGAAATTTGGTAGTATATAAGTTAATATGGTAATATGCTAATTAATGAAAACATGAAGTATAAGCAAAAGCATGCATGTGCACAGGCACCTCATATGAAGCGGAAAGCCCTGTGTATATCTAGGTTTTGCAGCCACGGTCAGTAGGGATTCAGCTTAACCCCAATGGAAATTTTGAAGAACACGTACCCTCTTCCCTGCCACCACCACCCACCGAAATAAAATCCTGGCTGATCAGCCTTCAGCAGGCATTTAACACACAAGCACGCACGCACACACATACAATATTGCTACGTGTAGTGCATGGAGTTGAAGACAAAGCAGATAGACTGGCGTGAGCTAATCTGTGTGGCTGGCGCTATGGCCTTGCACTGGCCGCACCAGGGGGAGTAGAACTTGACGAAGACGTGCTTGTGATCCTTGATGTCCTGCTCGAAGTTGCTCTGCTTGAGGATGAGCACACCACCTTCCGTCTCGTAGTCGGCGCAGTTGACCGACGCTAAGCAGCACAGTAGACCAATTAACCTTAGAGAAATCATGTTTTGTCTTCGTAGAACAACGGAGTCCGTCGAGTTTGTGAAAACGAACCGGCTGTCCGCACCACCTCAACAACCCACCGCAAGCACGACGTTGACAAGACAAGAAGGCCACGACACGAACGTGGCACTTGGGAAGAGCCCGACCAATATTGTCAATTTGAACCACCTTAATGATGAGCTTAGCAGTTGCATCGATGTCCGAGACATATCACGGCTATGAAACAGTTGTTTCTCTCTTTAAAAACTTTTTCCTCAACGAAAATAACAAATATATACACACACACACACTTTCGATAAAACGCTACTTGTCTGGGCACGGCGGCGTGAACCTGCGCAACGCCCCGAGATTAGCAAATCCTACCTGAGTTGACATTTCTGAATCCTGAGCTCGAGACCTCAAGATTCCGCCACCGTACCAAACACCTAAAAGTTCACGTTAGCGTATGTCTACCCCAAATTTCTTGGCGCGGATTAGAGACTACTGTCGAGCATTTCCTGATAAGACGCAGGAAGAAAGTTCGAATGAGCCGCGCACGCGCACTTCCGGCAGACCCGATCGCAACCCGATCACCACGACGAAAGCTGAGCACTTTTTTCTTTTTCGGTTTCGCAGCGAAGGTGGCGAAGCGTACGGGCAACCGCCAGTGAACGAGAGGATCTCGCGGTGTGTCAACTTTAATTATTGTCACACACCGTGGGCACAAACTTGTCGCGTAGTCCGAGAAACGCAATCGATCTGCTTCCCCAGATAAGACGACACAGCAGACGCACATTCCCGTGTCGCGTCGTTAGAACTAATGACTTTGACAAAACATGGTTACATATATTGTCACGTGAGAGTGAGGGTAGCCCGAAGACAGGAGACCGGGAGGCTAGTAGAAATAGAAGGAGATCCGTTTATTTGGCGGACTTGCGCCCACTAAAGGAAAACAGACACATCGGCTTAGCGGGTGGCGAACAGCGTGTTCGACGGCCGTCGGGATGCAGAATGCCCCACTGGATCGCAAGGCGCGTTCACCATCCGAGATACAGTCGCCGTAGCGTCTGGCGCTATCTCGTTATCAGCGAATGGTCGACGTGCGGGCCATGATCTTCGCAGATGAATCGCGGTGCATCCTGGACCACGATAAGGCCGCGTGCCGGCGGTATCGGCATGCGCAACACTATCCGCAATACGCCTCGCGGCAATATCTTCAACAAACTTGAAATCTTCCGTGTTGTAGGGGTAGTGATAATTGGTATGTGCAGTAGAATTTATAGATGTTTTTTTTTTAAGTCCGCGACTCGGCGCTGCGTGCGTTGTCGTCCTTTTTGTTTTTTTGTTTTTACTCCTTCCCACCACATGAGTGCTATAGCACTATGTTGACCGCTTAAGTTCTGTGGCTAAACGCGTGTTGTACGATTCTCACCACGATCCGACTACTACCGCCGTTTGCCCGCGACTGCAAAAAAAAGGGGGAAAAGATCACCTTTCTTCGAATATTTAAAGCACGGCCCGATTGCTTTGCGATGGATCGCCATGACGAAAAGCTGTGCAAGTAGGTTGTTGCGCGAAAAAGAAAACACATGGAGGCACAATGCCACACAACATGTGCACTCCACAGCTAGAAGCCACAAGCTCGACAACGGAGGATAGAGAGGAAAAGGGGGGGGGGGGGGGGTATAATGTGCGCAGTCAATTTTGCATTCTTTACTGGAATGGACTTGATTTATTTTTTGCTGTATTTGTGAATCTCCTGGGCCTTTTCTTTTTCTTCAAGGGTTTTAGTTCTTTCATATTTTCCAAACGACCTTATATTTCTTCCACTTCCTTTTTGACGACTCTGAGTTATCCATTTAGACGTTCAGTTGGCGTGTGTACTTTGTTACAACTTTATATCTCTTTCGCCATGTTCACCCTTTTTAAGGTACAGATGCATGTGCACTCTAGCTCCATATTTTTAAAATCCATGTTCCTAAGTCTCAATTTGTTCTATACTAATTTCACTCAGCACTTCTATGACTTCATATGTGGTCCAAACCCAAGTTGTGTAACCCCACCCCCTCCCCGCCCCTACTAATTAGCCCACCAACATATACTTAACCTTCAACCCTACCACGAACTCTATCTCTAACTTTAAGAATATATACAATGGCAACTTGTGAATGTTAATGGTAGGGCACATTATACTCCTTTCCAAATTCCTTGCCCATCATACTTTTATTTATTGCAGCTCTAGAGTGCACTGTTTCATCACAGCCATTTCCTCTTCCTCATCAGCCTTTCTGTGCAAGTATTTGAGTGAACCAATGTATTACCCTGGTAGTTAACACTGCTTGGCTATGGTATCATTTGCTACTTGACTAATACTATGTTAATAGTTTTCTCCATGACAGAGTGCTCAAATGGCTTTCAAATGCTACATTTCCAGTCAGCAGAGACAGTGCAAGAATGTAAACACCAGATAATTCAAGCCAGACTGAAGGAAAGTATTTCAGCAAACTAGGTTGGGAGCGCATGATGGAATACTGGCAAATACAACTTCATAACAAAGCTAGAGTCTCTTCTTGTCCCTTCTTGTTGCTAGTTGAGCAATAAATTTTCAGTACATTGTTACGTTTTAACCCTGAAAGACTGCATCACATATACATAACAGGGGTGCAATGTTAAATGCAACTTCAGCAATTTGGCAAAAATGCAGGAGCCTATGCCATGCATACACCCACAATATTGTATGCTGAGCTAAGCCACTATTGTTTGCACTGTCAGCAAACAATGTTGAACTACTGACGAAATGTTGAATTACTATGCATACTTATTTCTGGTCCAAAGTAGATATTGTGAAAAAGGACACCGAAGAGACAGACAGTGAAGCGCAAAGACTGCGGGCACTTCGCTGTCTGCCAGCATGAATGTTTTTGACACTAACATTGACTGTTTGATAACTGGAACAGCTCCAATGTGAAAAAAGTGCAATTCCTGAACAAAGAAGCTCGAGAATATCATTGAACCCAAATACAATGGAATCTTTTGCTGGCATAAGTTCTTGATCATATTACTGCCCACCTTGCTGTAATAACTACAACCAGTTAAAAATGAACAGTTTAAAATAACATGGGGAACAAACAGTATAAAACAATATGTTGGGTATGTTTTAACAGCTCTTACCAAAGTTTGTTGACGTTCCCCTGGCACCTTCGTTTCAGACTGGGCGTTCAAAGCTGCAAAACAACACTCTATTTGAGATACTAATTAAAAGAAAACTATAGAAAATATATGTATGACTACTGGGTTTCAATATGAGAAAGGTACAAAAATGTCAAAAAAATGATTACAAGTCTATTCTAGAATTTCTAGGTGTTTAAACTGGAAACACTAATACAGTTCAATAGCGAATCCCGTAAATGGCATTTTTTGTGAGCATGTAATTTTTCTCTAGCCACAACTTTTTTTATCCTAAAATACTGCTAGAATAAAAACAATATTCAAATGACATTATGTATATACATTGGCATTGTGAGCTATAGTTGCTACATATATTTTAAAGGTATCAATTTGGTATAACCTTAAAAATAATGTGGTTGCATGAAGAAATAACACTTCAACATTGCAAGACAGCAGAAAATTGAAATTTGAGCAGTTATTATAAACAGCACTCCAATTTGTAAGGTCTCACTAGTAAAGCAAAGTATTCTGCAGTACTGGTGCTACATTGCTTTTCTTAACTCAATCAGGCATCTTTCTGCCAGCAACTGAAATAGTCAATTTAAGTTTGTTACTGTGCAGTTGAATGTGTAATTTACACAATGATGTTCGAATAAATGTTTATAGTAAAGACTGAATTCAGGCAAAATATACATAAAGCCCATAATTGCTTAGCAACCATTTATGAAATATATTAAACATTCATAATAATGAAAGAGCTCCCTCCAACATAGTCATATCAAGAATACAAACCAAGACTAAAATGGCTGGCTACAGGCGTAGTGCTTGCCATTCTCTGGCAACATTATGCCCTTCACCAGGATCACACCCTAGGAAACTTCCAGTTATGCTCGTTTTCATATGCTTTGCTGCCAGTCACTGCTTGTTTTGCTATGTTTATAGTGATTAGAATGATTCAAATAAAGCGCATGATACCCGGGTGTTGCTGAGTAGTGTTGGGATGCTACACGCAATGAGGGAATAATTTTGCAAGGGAAAACATCAGTTTCCCAAAAGAACACCTGTAATGTGGCAGATTAGGCGAGACAACTTGATGTACACATATTTATTCTGCCCACTTTATTTAAAGCAAATAAGCTTACTGCATACCCTGTTGGCACTGATGTAATGGCAAAGAGTTAGTCCACGGTGTCCAATTACAATGAACAAATTTTCCAATCTATGTTCTGCAGAAGGTATTGTCCTCACACCTACTTTAATACGTGAAAGATGCCAGATGCTCAAAGGTAAAAAAATTGTTTTTTGATGTTAATGCCACAGCTCTCCGCTGTAAGCAATGCTCAGAATGCATATGCAGCCACACTCGAAGTGTATTGCCATGCAGCATGTGCTGCGGTTATGGCAGTGCCCATTGTTATTACATGTAACCAATCAATGTGATTCAGTTCTCTTTCTTATCAGTGAGAGCAATGCTGATGAGCTGTGGACAACAAAAATATTGTCTGTAAAACCTGCACGATCACACGGCACGAGGATGAACTAATTCTGTTATCAGCGGTCATTGCTGCACCCACGTCAATGAATTTGAATTGAACATAGATCGTGGGTATAAACAGGCTTATGACAGAACCAATTGACAGCTTGCAAAACAATTACTGTGCATACATAAGCAGGTACATTTTCCATATATGAACAGCCTCAACTATAGACTAGCAGACAAACTATTTTTTCCATTTGCCACCAATTACTGTCTTTTTTTTCTCTCATTTTTTCCTCATTCTCTGTGCATGAGGGAACTTAAAACAAGGGTGAAATTACTGCAGTGTGTTTTGAAAAACTTTTCTGTGGCTTTTGAACCTTCGCTGGAATGTGGAGAGGTAAACATACTCTGAGTGAGAAAAGCAGTCTGGAAACGAGAGTTTGCATGGCAAAACATTTTTGCGGAAAAGCCAGCCCACAGGTGTATGTAAAGTGTCAGTTGAGCAATTTGTGCATCCCAGAGCAACTTACGTAATGAGTGTACTATGCATTATTCCAGTTATATTGGACACTTAATATAGCAATCAATGACGGTCATACTCGATCGCTACCAAGAGTGCCCAGTTTATGACACTGCCAATAATAAGTGCATTATCCTTATGTGGTGTGCTGCAACAGTGCTGTTGAGCCTGGCCATACTGGCCCAATCCAAGCAAGTGTTTTGAGCTTACATTCACTTTATGCAATGTATCATTCTGAGGACCAGTGCAACCATTCCTGTGCTTGCTAAATGTTGCCCTATATGTGTCAGCGAGGAATTGCGAGAGACAACAGAGCAGCACAAACAAATGAACTGCACCGACACCACCGGGCCAGTTGTGTACACAATAACAGAAGTCAAGCATCGAAGGTTTCCTAGGGTGCACCCTTCAGGTGCATGCTGTTTTGTATGCAAACAGTGAAACAGTCTACAACATAAACCATATTAAGAATGAAAGTTGAGTATATAGTGATGCTCTCTGACGATTCAACTGAAGTAAATGAAGCTTTTTTTGGCAAACAATGGTGACTTGAGTAGATTTGCCTTCTAATTAAATGGCACTTAAATATTGCTGGAGCAAACACATATTCGTTATGAAGTAATATGCATTACAGATAATTCCAATAAAACACAAGCTGCTGATAGAAATTTATAGATGTATTAATTGTTATCAACTGAAAAGTGCAATAAAAGCTTTTGCAAAAAGTAATAATGGTGTGCTGCCAATAATGCTTAAATATAAAGTTTACACATGGTTTACATAACAAAGAGAAGTCACTTTATAAATAAAACATCCACTCAATATGAGAGGTTGATTTACAAAGCCATATGAGATTATAAACTTTAAAACAAAGTGCTTGAATATTAAATGAATTTAAATACATTATTAAGACCAATCAAGTTGTTTTTCACATCATGAGGGCCGGAGAGATGAAAAAAAAACAAAAAGCTGCATGCACAGTGGACAAACAGTCATGCAATGCTAGCACATGCAAGTGTTACCTTGGCGCTTTTCATACAAAGGGTTGACGAGATTAACAGATTCACTAGTTGCTAGTTGTATGCAGCAAAAAAGAAAAAAAGAAGGGGAAAAGAAAAGGAGTTAAAGAGCGACGTTACAATGAGGTAAAATGCTTTCAATCATACAGGTAAAACATTTATCTGGTCATATATCACTAGAAAAATAGAATTACAATACAAGGGCCACTCATAGAGTTCTTACTGCTTTCTTGAGAGAACACAATACAGAATGACGTTAAGAGAAAATTTGATTGTTGCCCCCCTCTTTGAAGGGACAATAGAGAGAAACATGTTCTTTTGCCAACTAGTAAAGCACCATTCCACAATCCCGAAAACTCTACTCTTACTGCAAGATGACACTTGTTAAGTGAGCAAACGAGCGGAAAAAAAAAATGCGTATGCCACCTTGCGATTCTTGCACAAAACACCGTGATGTCATAAATTTTGATGGCATCTACTAGGTTCTACGTAGTTTCTAATCAATAAAAATAAAGTATGTTGTCATCTGTGGGGGCCATAGACCGAACTTATGAAGGTTCAGAAGATTTCATCAAGCCTATGTCACGAAAATAACAAAAATACACTTTGAAATCAGTGATGTCACGTGCAGAGATTTCAGCGTGAGATTTAAAAATAAAACTTGAACGTTGATTTTTTTCCTTTAATAATGAACTTATGATATGGGGACACTTATGAAATTAAAGTTCTGAGATTACAGTTTATCGATCTAAATCAAGTCACTTTAGTGTCCCTTTAACCGCACAAGACAGCACACTTGGGCCAGCATATATGAGCCTAAAAAACCATTCGTAAGACCACATCATTTCTGTCCATAAACCAGCTCACTTCAGGAAGAGTTGAATGATGCGAGTGTATATTACACAGTAGTGCAGTGGTCCACAAGAGACATTGTAGCATAGAACTCCATAGTAACATAACTACAATTAGCCCCCCCCTCTTTTCATTCTTCTCTGTGCACATAAGTCTAAATGCATAATTTAAACATGTATGGTGAGCAATGAAGTGACAGGTTTTTGTTGTCTTGAAAATAATTTATAGACAGTCGAGTCCATTCACGCAAAAGGTAGGCGCTTCAGTTAGCAATTTGGTAAAACTAAAAACGAGGCAGATTTTCGTAACCCATAAAAGTCATGTGTCACCATCTAAAATCGATTAGTCCACTGTTGTAAAAAAATATATTTTTGACCTTCTCTCTATCTGTTTAACATTAGTGTAACAACTCCTGCGGCCTTTTAACATTTCCAGCCATGATATCTCAGAGCAACACAGTGACAGCCTCAGATCATTCAGCTCAACCTTCAATCCTTGCCAGCATCAACCCAACTACAGTGGACTCTCAGTAAACGGAAATCTGTTAAACGGCACTGCTGCTTAAATGGAACAAGTGGCTCTGATATGATTGGTTTCATCCCTGCATACTGCACCCCAGTTCAACTCTAAACTCCTGTTAAATGAAACACATTTTCCTGGCCCCTTCAGGTTCCATTTAATGTGAGTCCATTGTATTTTTAACACCGGTTATTTCACATACCCCCACACCATGCTGTTAAAATTACTTTCTAAAATAGCATTCTGTCCGAGGCCATGTTCAAGAAAGCTTGAAAACTAGATAACGAAGAAACGAGTGAAGAGGGTGCGATGGGGAGAGAGAGGGAGTTACACTGCACACTAAATGCTGTTAGTGCAGAAGTGTCTGCTTGCCACTAAAAAAAAGGTGGGGGTCACCTTTCCTCTGGATCTGCTTGATCATATCATAGCTACATCTACTTCTGGCTTCTGTTATTCATAACCCTGCGCATTTTCTTCATTCTCAAAACTCACTGCTCACGTCACTGTCTCACGAAAAGAAGACAAGTGATTTTTTTTTTTTCGCCGTGCAACTACACACCACAAGTGATATTTTCACACAAAGTGTTGGACATACAAAAGTTTGTTTTTTAGAAAACAAATGCCATCAGTCACTTCACCTGATGTGTGGTCCTTGATAAACTCTTTGATTAGGCGATCACAATGCTGGCTTTGTGTCACATCAAATGCTTGCCATGCGTTAAGTGTAGTACTTTGCATGAAACCGAAGCTAGCTTTGCATGAAACCAAAACCGAAACACCACATTAAGAAATGGAGCTCTTCAAGCTTTTTGTTGCAACGGGTAGTACCAACAGGAATTATTATTATCATGAATCATTATGCACTCGCTTCATCTTTTTTAACTTCTGCTTTGCTCCCACAACATGTGCACCGATTGTTCTCTTGGGGAATTGAAAAACTATGATGGGTTAGCTAGTTGGTTGGTTCAGGTGCCCGTGTTAGCCAATTCGTGTCACCCCCATCCTTTTTGCTGCTTACCAGTTTCTCTGAAATGATCAGCAAGTCATGCTTTCCATGACTTGCCTATCATTTAAGAGAAACTGGTAAAAGATACTAGCCAGTGTTACCCAACTAGAAATCATCTCAGATCACATAACATCTCTGTTCTCCTTAACATGTAAAACTAGTCATGGAACTAAAATCACGTAAGATCATGTAATAACTAGCCACGTGACTAAAAATTATGTAACGCTCACGGGACTAAAAACACTGCATAACTAGACAGGTGACTAGAATCATCACTTACCTACTGGCATGACTAAATATCACATAACATATAGTCGCAAGGCTAAAATCATGCAAAGTTGCATAATAGCTAGTCGACATGTTTTCGCCATAAACCAGTAACAGCTAGCCACGTGACATGTTCCTGCAAAAACCATGTAACAGCTAGTTACGTGACTAAAATCACAATATCACGTCACGTGACATGTCTAGCCAAGTCTAGCAATACTTACTACAACTGGCAAAAACTTCACATCCGTACCAAAAGTCAAAATGGCTAATTGGGCGAGTTGTTGATTCATGATTATCTGAAATACGAGCACATGACATAGACAGGAACTTGTCCCTGTCAGTCCCGGTGTAAGCTGTGCATTCGTATTTCAAGTAATCTACCAAAAGCTTGGCATTACTGGTAAAACTTAGCTAGATTAAACACTAGCTCGGCTGATGGATCTAGTTTTGTGCCACTATTGCAAGCTGCATGTTTTTTTGTTTTTTGTTTTTTTTTTTTTTTTTTCATTATGAAATCTACCAACTGTGGTAGCCAACCTGGCTGTGCTGAAACTGCACCCAAACCCAACTGCCTGAATCCAAAACACCTAATAATGCATGGCCAACATTGTTATCGAAATGCAGCAAAAGTATACTAGGCAGAGGAACTGACCCTCAGCTAGCAGAACTTCCAAATTGATCCCTGCTCACTTGTTAAAAACTATACATCAAGCACAAATTAAAAGCACCCAGCACGACTAACATAAGCCCATAAGTCACACAGTGACGAAATTTGCACGCCACTTATGAGTGGGTTCCTCGCTGACTGCGAACCACCGATTTGGTGTGCCATTGCAATGATGGCTTTCTTAAATTTAAGATGCAGCGCAATATTTCTTTTCTGCATTGTGAAAGTGAATGCAGAAATAGAGACAAAATTTGGTTTGACCACTCACAGAATCTTATGGTGCAGTTCACAGAAGCCATTCTAAGAAATACATTATAAACCAAGGTGGTGCATCGAAGTGGAGCAGTCAGCTCCCCTTCACAAAACCAAGCAATAAGAGAGGCTTCAATTTTTTATTCCTAAACACTTTTGATCCTAAGGTTGCTTTGTCCTGAAGAACTTTCAAGAGTTTCACTTCAGTTTCAACACAATAGCAGTGCTCTCACTTCCTACAGTGTGCCAATTACAGTGCACTCAAAGAAAAGGAACATGCTTGTCTTGCAACCAATCATATGTGTCACTAGTATCAGTTTTCCATGAATGGCATGGTACAAACTTCATGAGTGACCCTTGTACGATGAGGTCATAAATATTTATTGTTACCAACTGAAATTATACTAATGTGTCTAATGTGTGATCACAACACATTTTATATCACATTAGTACACATGTTTTAAGTAGCTTACATAAATAAGTGATAGCCCCAATTTCACATTTAAGTTAAGCTGGGCATTTACAGTAGTACAACTGTAATAAAAGGCAAAAGTAAAGAAATACCTCCTAATAATTAAACATAATTAAATCAGTAAAAGATGCTCTGGGTCACTATAACAACTTGACTTGTAAGTTTATACATGCAGAATTAGTTATGTAAACTGAAAACAAGGCAAAAATACCCACACGTGCTTAGCAAATAAGAGCCCACATATTTTTCATTCAGGAGTTTAGCATCTGATCTTCAATAGGTATAGTTTTAACAAACACATGATTGAAGAAAGTTTTTATAGTTTCATCAGTGATCAAGGAACTTATTTTCTGCATGCATTGGTCTAAATGGTCTGAAAAAGACCAGTAAAGCAAACCTTTCAGGCCTAACATACAGGTATTGGTGGCAAGCAGGTTTTAGTTCTTGGATTCCATGTTTTTTTGCATTTTTGTATTTGGCAGAAGAAGCAATCTACATGCAGCAATAATAATATCAGGAATGCATAATAAAAGCTTTAATGTTCACCACACTGTAGTACGTACATGGTAGTTAATGAGGCATTATGTGAATTTAATTTTTAAATTAAACAATATGATTTTTTTAGTCACATCTTAATGACTGAAAGCTGCAAAACTTGCACAATGTTTTTACAAATAAAAACATAACTAGGCTGCTAAAGGTGCTAGTTGATGTAATGCAATGTATTTAATAAAAAAGAGAAAGAGAGAGCAAATATAAAGCTCAAACAACTTGGGAGAGAGTTAATAAGAAAACCTACAAAAAAATCAATTATTGAACATTTGAGTGATGTAGCAGAACTGACATGCTACAACAGTATGCTCTATAACCTAGTTCTGTGAGCAATTAATTCATGGGTGTGTTAACAGTGAACACAGCAGCAAAACTATACTGGAAAAGAGTATACTGCTACTCACACTGTGAAGGTCCTCTAGAGCTCCCACCATATTTCTGTTTGTCTTCATAAAATTCTGTAAAGGCCAACAAAAAAACAACAACATGATTTTATGCCTGATTTCCTCCCTTCACGCATATAAAGGAGTGGTAACATTTAGGATATAGGGAGTGGAGAAAGAAAGGTGGTGACAAGAAGTCCTAAGAGAGAAGAGGGTTTGCCTATAAGTGCAGAATACAGAGATCTGAAACATAATGGCATGAGAGCGGTTAAGCAGACCATGCTAAGGATCGGGCGGAAAAGCAACGAAACTTGGCATCAAATTCAAAAAGCTCAGAATAGGACCAGGGTGCATGACTTGTCTGAAAATGTTGTGATCTACTGCAGAGGTGCACACATATAGACATTCACAAAAAGGCCCATACGCAAGGGCCTCTTGTGAATGAAAATTCTTCAAAAGCTAAGCTAATAGAGAAGTATGGAGGCATGACCGAATATGGTATTAGGCATGTGCATTCCTTCATGCCTAGCAAATTGGTTGTTGTTTACCTACTGCCTTTACCTTGAGAGAAGGTGTATGTCAGTCACAGCGACAGATGCATAAATGTGAAACTAAAACAACACAAGCACGCCGTGACCAGTTCACTTATTCTCACTGAGCAAATCACTGAAAGAAGTATTGTTAAGACTTTGTTTAAGTTAAGACTTCAATAATGTAAGTACAACAGCCATCCAAGCGTAGGCGTAGCACTATTAACTTACACGAGCACCATAATGCATAAAAAACCTGCAAAGGCCAAGAAAAAAAAGCAATTCTGACACAATTAATTTGTGGCAACAGGAATTATAGACACAACCCAGCCCTTCTAAACACCGCAGTCTTGAAAAGGTCATCACTTGTGATAAGTCAGTCCAATGTCGAAAGTAAAGAGGGCGTAATTTCTACGAAGGGAGACATGGCACTATGACACTTTTTAAAAATTTTTGGTCAATTTTTATGAAACTTGCCTAATGAATGTATATTTTTGTCCTGATTTCGAATGTGCAATAGTTTTTTTTCTATGGCAAATAGTTCCCAAGTTAGTACAAACAGCTACTTTGTTTAAGGCCTAATTAGCTACTACCTATACAGTAATATAAAATGTACAGAATCAATCAGTTGAGAATGTTCAGTGTGTCATTAACTATAAATCATTGCTTTAGGCCATTGCCTACCAAGGTTGAGAATTATTGAACCAGACTTAAATATTGTCATTGTTACAAGAAACAAAAGCTCTATTTAGAGTATTCTCTCATGAAGACCACCATGACAAAATTTATCTCACAACATATCACATCTCTTTATCTTAGACGGAGAAAAGAAATCATAGCGATAACCCAGCTAGGACAAAAGATATTGCTTCTCATCACAGAAAGGGCATAAAAAATCTCTCACTGTTTGCCCTCAACTTAAAGGTTGGGAAAGATGGGTTTTGGTTCTTCAATGTAGGATAATGATAAAGGTTCATGGTATTCAGCTATAAAAATTGTGAATAAGTGTGCAGTGATGTCATGAATTTGAAAATATAATCAGCAGAAACTCGATTTTTTTTTTTTTTCAAATTTTAAGTTCCTAAGTGTCACATTCAATGGTGACTTCACTGCTATGTGTCCATGTACACACTACAACATTCTGTTTTTGCCTTTTGTGCAAAATGTGGATAGTTCTATGCCAGTCCTTAAATAAGTGAAGTAAATCACTTATTATGTGACTTAATTTCTGCGAGTGCTCAGCTAAGAATGAATGCATATAAGTTAATGACATTCCTTGAGGAAAAAAATTAATCATGGTATAATATAAGGAAAACAAGTTGTATCAAATGTAATCTCATCAGTGCAATTAGTTGTAACAGTGTCAGGTTGCATTGTTTATCCTGCTAACAAAAAAAAAATATGCGTGCCAACATATCAACATTCTATTCATGAACACATGATTTATACAAAGAATAGAAAATAACAATGAACACAAAAAAAGTGTTCCAAACGCAAGCAATGTTCTGAAAATCAAAATCAATGTTCTGAGTGAGAACGACTAGGCTTACCAGTGAATGCCTCACCAAAGGCAGCTTTGAGTTGATCTATGGGTGCTTTTTCTATGAGGTCTATGAGGTCTTTGGGAGCCTTCATCACTAATTTGTCATGATCTCCCTTCTCACATTCCTGAAATATACTGCTATGCAGACTGTCTGCATTCGCTGAAGCCCTTCCACCAAAGAAGCAGTCTCCAGTTGTTTTTTCCCTGGGCAGCAGCTTATCGCACTCAGCCCCTGCCCTGGCAACTTCCTGATAAGAGCAGGAAGTTGGCAGGGGTGAGGAGGCAGCACAGCCTGATAAAGTAGCAACAGGATTGCTCTTGTTGCCACACGCCTCCAGAGTGTCTGTCCCATCATGAACAACAGCTTCTGAAGCACTGTGCTCTTCAATTGTCACCACTCTCTCGTACATACTGTTCCGACTCTCTTCCATGTACTGTACGTGTGGTGTGTTAGTGCCTTGTGAAGCACAAGGAACACTTGGTGTCATCATGCTAGCTGTCTCCTCCGATGAAACTGTGCCACTGCATGTAAGTTCTGCCTCTATTTTCTTTTGTGACTGTACATCCATGCTCCTGACTGGGGACTGTTTGTTCTTTTCTGAAGGGCAAGATCGTTTTCTTAGAGGGCGTGTTGGAGCATGAGAAACTGATTTTGTCAAATCTGACAGACTTTCAAATGACTGCCAATCCTCGACATCTTCATCAGACTTTGCATTATTTTCATTAAAAGGCAGACGATCAGACTGAATACTGTCCAAGTTACAATCATGAAATGTTTCAAATGTGTTTTCAAAAACACTGTCCGTATCACTGTCTTGCATCTCAGAATGCTCTTTTATGCCTCGATCGACTAGAAATGCAGAAAGTTCATCATTGGGTCCAAGTTTCATCATATAGGGTGCACTTCCAGAGCAATTATCATTAAGAAAATCGCAGTTCTCAACAACACGAAAAGAGACAACATCTAATGGGGAGTTATCTTCAATGAGATGTCTAGACAATTCTGATAAAGAAAAAGGAAGCCTCAAAATTCCACATGTGGGAGGATGCTCCTGGTGCTCTAGACCCTGAAATGAGGGCTGTTGTAGTGTTTCTTTGAAAGGAGTCTCTTTATCAGTCTCAGAGTCTTCACAGGATGACAGACTGCTGTCTACATCACTTTCATAACACATTTGTCCTGGCTCAAATTCTTTTGTAAATGTCTGAAGCTCATTTTGGACAGCTAATTCTTCCTTTCCAGCCTGTTCAGTGAAAGCCCTACTGTTTACTTTTTGTGGAGTACCTCCATCTGGTAAAATGCCTTTAGATGCCTTGCGTCTCGGCAGGGCCCTTCTGCGCCGTGTGGGTGCTTTCATGTGACTTTCAAGGCATAGGCTGCTGTCAGAATAAGCTTGATTTTTTACCTGCATACTCCCTTCCATGGGGGCGCCTTGAGGCATATTAGCACCTTCAGCTGAAATGTGCTGAAACTGTGAAGATTGCCCTACATTACTATGGCGAGGAGAGCGAGGTGGTGGTTTTGGCTGTTCTTCCAATAGGGAAGGTGGTGTTGCACTACTGTGACGTGGAGAACGAGGTGGTGGCTTTGGCTCTTCCTCCAATCGAGGTGGTGGGGTTAAACTACTGTGACGTGGAGAACGAGGTGTCGGTTTTGGCTGCTCTTCACTATGAGAAGCTGGTATAACACTACTATGGCGTGGGGAGCGAGGTGGTGGTTTTGGCTGCTTTTTTAATAGGGAAGGTGATGTTACACCACTGTGGCAAAGAGAACGAGGTGGTGGCTTTGGCTGCTCATTCAACAGGCCACTGTCATCCTCTCGCGCTGGATAAAGTGCGCTTCTTTTGTTTTCATGTAAAAGTTCACATGGTGAATTATTTGAAGATGACACTGACAGGTCTTTTGCTAGTAATCTGTTGGAATATATGACAGAGAGGCAATGAGCTTGCATATGTGCATTTGCATCTTCCAAAGAATCAGGTTCTTTTTCCCCAAGTTCAGCAAAGCAGGAAACGTCTGATGATCTATCTGGTATAGGCATTATGGTGCTATCTGCATAACCGTTTGAAAGGTTTAAACGTGAATATTTACTGATGTCTGGATCACTGCTCAGAAAATTTTTGTTCACCAAGTCAAGCCTATTGTACTGCACTGTAGCAGTATCAGCAATACCTGAACTGTGACGTCTCCAGTATGTATCAGTGAGCTTACTGGCTGAGCTAGTTGCAGGAAGGAGTGATGCAGGTTGACGTCTTGAACGTCCACCAGTTTGTGAGCTATCTGAAAATGAGTGTTCATGATGCAGGTTGTCTAATGCTGGATGTGGAAACCTTTTAAATGTGCCAAGAAGTGCATTCCTATTTAAAAGTCCCTTTTCATCAAAATCTGGGTATTCCATACAATCAACCTCTTCCTCCGAGGCATTTTCAAACACTTGGCTGTCAGGTTCTTCTTCTGAATCGAAACATGGTTCAAACTGCCTGTTGAATGCATCAAGAATATCTCGGTCCTCTGATCTCACTGGATGCATGTTAATACCATCAGTAGCAATCATAGAATGACCCAGCGGGCATGACTTATTAGCACTATCATTTGATAAGTTATTCAAGTCAAGCTCTGTCATTCTTTCATTCCCCAACATGGAGTTCTCAGCTAAAAACTTGCACGCTTTGAGCTTTGCTTCATCTACAATAAACTCTGCAAATTCTTCAGCAGCTTGCTCAAGGTGAAAAAATGAAAATGTGATCTTATCTCCTTCAAGAATTTCGTCTCCGAGTTCCCTGTTTGTTTCTTGTTCATCCTGTTCTTGCTTCATGTAACAATTTAACTCTGCAGACTGCGATTTTCGATGGGCAGGCAGTTCACTGCTGGCACATGTTACTGAATTCAGTTGTGGTGAATCTGATATTACAGGAATATGAGGACGTGGGCGCCACTTTCTTGGTGGTTGCTTTTCATTTTTGTTGTCCTGATGCTTTTGCTGGCGTTTCAGTAGAGGTGGTCT